GGCTGTGGTGGGAGGATTGCTTGAAGACAGGAGGCAGAGGTTGCAGTAAGCTAAGATTGTACCACTGCACTCCAGCCTGGGCAACAGCAAGACCCTGTGTCCAAAAAAAAAAGAAAAGAGAAAAATAAATTTCCAGATTGGCATCCAAGGCCCTCCCAAGTACTGCCACTTTATCACGTTCTCCACTAAGGCTCTGTGACATGAACTCTATGATTGCCTTAAGAGAAAAACCTTAGACAAATTAAATGTAACAGAATTTAATTGAACAAAGAACAATTCATAAATTGGGCAGCCTCCCAAGCCAATATCAGTTCAGAGAGTCTCTGGGGCTGCCATGTGGTGGGAGATGTATGGACAGAAAAAAGAAAATGACACACAGAAAACAGAAGTGAAGTACAGACATAGCTGATTGGTTATAGCTCAGCGTTTGAACACAGTTTGAACAAACTTTGATTGGCTGAAACGTGCTGCTTGGCAGAAGAATAAGTTATGGTCTGTTTACACATCAAGTTAGGTTACGGTTCACTGTGGGCAGAGAAACCTTTAGGTAGAACTTGAAATGGATCAAGAAGCAGCTTTAGGCTAAACTTAACTGAATAACCCAACCAAACTAGGTCTTGTGTTTTTCCTGGAGCGTGCTTTCCTTCCTCTCCATCGTCACTTATGCTGTGATTTGGACTTCTCTTTTCTCACTACAGCTGTTTGCTGAAACACAACCATCACGCCTGAGTCTTTTGCTCAGCCATCCCATGTTAACACCTCTCCTCTCTTGGGCTTTAATTATATTTTGTGTATATGTCCCTCATGAGCTTGAATTTTCTCTCTCTCGTAGTTTTATTGGACACCCCTTGTGCAGCTGACCTAAATCACTAGAACCTGGAAATGGTAAGTGGTGTGTCATTCTGCACCTCCTCCAGTCCAGTTTACTCCATATGGACCCCATGAATGATGTCTGATTTCTCTGAATGTCCAAGGCATTTGTTATCAATAATTGCATATAATTCAATTGTGTACCCCACACTTGTAATCCCAGCACTTTGGGAGGCCAAGACAGGTGGATTACCTGAGGTCAGGAGTTTGAGGCCAGCCTGGCCAACATGGTAATACCCCACTCTACTGAAAATGCAAAAATTAGCTGGGTGTGGTGTCAGGGGGCTGTAATTACAGCTACTTGGGAGGCTGAGGCAGGAGAATCACTTAAACACAGGAGGTGGAGGTTGCAGTGAGCCAAGATCACACCATTGCACTCCAGTCTGGGTGACAGAGCAAGACTCTGTCTCAAAAAAAAAAAAAAAAAAATGTATACCCTGGACCAGCATGTCCTGGCTTTTCTAGGAGGATGAGTCATTCTTTCATTGACTTAAAAAATTATAAAATCTTCTTGGCATTGTGACTTAGCACTGGAGTGTGGAAAAGGCAGGTGTTTTCATTTGCTAGAGCTACTGAAACAAAGTGCCACAGATATGGGTGCTCGAAAGACAGAAATTGACTCACTCACTATTTTGGAGGCTGGAAGCCTGAGATCAAGGTGGTGGCAGGGCTGATTCCTTCGGAGGGCTTTTCGAGAAGGATTCGTTCCAGGCCTTTCTCCTTGGCTTGTAGGAGACAGGCTGTCTTCTTCCTGTGTCGTTCTCTTGTCTTTTCTTTATATATCTGTTTTTCCTCTTGTGGGGACACGCTATTGATTAGGACCCACACTAACGATCTCGTTTTCATTTGGTTACATCTTTAAAGACCTTAGCACCAAATATGGCTACATTCTGTGGTCCTGGGGTATAGGACTTCAACATAGGAATTGTGGGGAATCAGAGTTCAGCATGTAATGATATGCTTGTTGCCCTCACAGAATTTATAGTTTATAGGAAGGTACAGACAAGTAAGCAGGTGATTGCAATGCAGTGTGATCAGTGCACAGCAGTAGAAGAGCCGCAGAAAACTGTGGACAGAACGACACATAATCCAGGCTTGCGGTGGGGTGGAAAAAGCCACCCAGAGGAAGTGATGTTTAAGCTGAGACCTGAAGAATTCATAGAAGTGACCTAAGAAAAAGGGGTGGGAGAAGATTATTCTAGGCAGAGGAAAGTGCACAGGCAGTGTCCCTGGGGGTAAGAGTATGTATATCAGTTAGCTATTGCCTCAACAAAGCTGTGTAACAAAGATCTCCATGGCATAACAACAGTCATGTGTTCTCATTCATGGATTGGCTTGGCTGGGGTGGTTCTGCTCTCTGTGACTTCATTCTAGGAAACAGGTTGAGCGATTCTCACTCCCTGGAAGAAACTCTTCTCATGACCATGGCAGAAGCAGAAGAGCGCACACAAACCAGACAAACGTTTCAAATCCTTCTTTGCATCAACCCACATGCCATTGTCCAAAGCAAATGATATGATCAAGTCCAAAATGGAGTGAAGGACACTCTTCCCAAGGAAGTGGAGAGTGCTGGGGCAGAGGCAGGGCTGAGTATTTCTGAGAAACAGTCTGTCTGATCGATAACAATGTGATCCTGTTGAAAGTGGCACAGTGTGGCTGGAGCAAAGAACTCCAGCAGTGAGGGCCCCAGCTCTGCAAGCTGCCACGTAAAATCCACAGTGGGGGCTTCTGCATGAGATTGAAGAGGATGTAGTGATTACGGTGTTGTTTTTTTTCTTCTTTTTCTGAGATGCAGTCTCACTCTGTCACCCAGGCCGGAGTGCAGTGGCATGACTTTGGCTCACTGCAGCCTCCACCTCCTGGGTTCAAGCAATTCTTCTGCCTCAGCCTCCTGAGTAGCTGGGATTACAGGTGTCCACCATCACGACTGGCTAATTTTTGTATTTTTAGTAGAGATGGGGTTTAACTATGTTGGTTAGGCTTGTCTTGAATTCCTGACCTTGTGATCTACCTGCCTCAGCCTCCCAAAGTGCTGGGATTACAGGCGTGAGCCACAGTGCCTGATCGTGATTACGATTTCTCATCCTGGATCTTGTGGCAACTTCTTAAATGCTGTAGTGACCTCCAGGCTGTCTTTGGTTGGCTGGGTGCTCATGGAAAGATTTCCTGTGGTTCATATCCATTCAAGGCTGTGTGCTTTATACCCCATTGCCTTCTCCCATCATCAATGCCTGCGTACTCATAGTCTGTGTCACATGATGTTGAAGGGGCATATAGGTTATCCTGCTGCCTTCCAAGTTTGTTTTCATAGGGGCCTCTTTGAGACCTATAGAGTGAGATGAGGAGGTCAGAGGTCCTAAGGGGATATGTGGCCTCCAGAAAGCCCCAGCTGGGTAGTTCCCAGGGTTCCATCAAGACCACCTTTAGTAGGGAATAGCCTACACCATCATTGAGCAACCTTACTCTTCCCTTCAGGTTCTGTTCTCATGCTTTCCAGCTTCTCCCAGCTTAGGCCCTGTTTGGGTTGAATTGTGTCGTCTTTCCATTCGTGCTGAAGTTCTAACCCCCAAAATCTCAGAATGCGACCTTATTTGGAGACAGGCTCTTTAAAGAGGTGGCCAAGCTAAAATGAAGTCATAGAGGTGGGTCCTCATCTAATACAACTGATCTCCTTATAAAAAGGGGAAATTTGGACACAGGGACACAGGCTCACACAGAGAAGATAACATGAAGTCACAGGGAGAAAACGGCCATCTATGAGCTAAAGGGAGATGCTGAGATTCACTCAGGGTGGTTGGCAAGATATTAAGGGAAATATTAGGTAAAGTGTAAGATTATAGTCCCAAACCTTTTGAAAGGCCAAAAGGTTTTCCTGAGACTGGCTGAAGGCAGCCAGTTCCTATCTTAGAGCATTAGGTCATAGGGTGAAGATTAGGGACAATAAAATCTTCCCCAGTTAAGTCTTGTTTACCCCACATTCCCTTGTCTTTGTTTGCTCATGTGAACTTTGTGTGGGATGGTCCTCTCAGGGGAGGTGGAAGGGGAATTACCCATTAATGTTGTTTACTTCATGTTAATCATCCACAAGCATGTTGATTTAGAACTTCTGTTATTAAATCTATACGGAATAAATGTGGGGAGGAACATTGAGTAGCGGTCAGTTAGCTGCCATCACCCTCTGAGAGCAGCTGACAATCCCCTAGCCCCACTCTTACACTGTATACTGTGTGTGTTTATGTAAAAATACAAAACCTAGCCAGGTGTGCTGGTGTGTGCCTGTAGTCCTAGCTACTCAGGAGGCTGAGGCAGGAGAATCGCTTGAATGCGGGAGGGGGAGGCAGAGATTGCCGTGAGCTGAGATTGCGCCACTGCACTCCATCCTGGGTGACATAGGGTGACTCCATCTCCAAAAAAAAAAAAAAAAAAGAAAGAATAGAAGAACCAATGAGCAGCCCATGCTACTTCCCTGCCTACCTGCCTATGGAGTAGCCATTCTTTTGGTTTTTTTTACTTCTCTAATAAACTTGCCTTTATTTTATGGAGTAATTTGAATTCTTTCTTGGCCGAGATCCAAGAACCCTCTCTCAGGGTCTGAATCAGGACTCCTTTCTGGTAATATCAGCACCTAGAATGGTGTCTGGAACCTTATTATTACATACAAAATACTTGCCAGTGAATGAATGAGTCTCAGCAGGAGGAGGTGCCATGGTACTCCAGGCTCCTTTTGTTGGTTTCCTTGTTCAGTCACTGTACTGTCTTGGAATCCAGAAAAAAAAAAAGAATAGATTCAAATAAGGTTTAGACTTGGGACAGGATAGGAATAGGGGTGGTAAGAGGCCCAGCAAACTGCCTGGGAGTGTAACTACTCCGTGGGTTCACCTTGCCTACTGCGTAGACAGAGCGAACTTACCGACACAGGGGAATTGCGATGAAAAGAGAAATTCATGCAGAGCCAGCTGTGTGAGAGATGGGAGTTTTATTATGACTTAAATCAGTCTCCTGAGCATTCGGGGATCCAGGGATGAGAGGTTTTGTTTTGTTTTCTTTTATATATATATATATATATATATATAACTTTACTTTCAGTTCATTTAATTTTTTTTAATTTTAATTTTTACAGATAGCTTGTTTCTAGTTTTTTTTACTTTAAAACATTTTTAATTTTTATTATACCTTAAGTTTTGAGATGCATGTGCAGAACATGCAGGTTTGTTACATAGGTATACACGTGCCAGGGTGGTTTGCTGAACCCATCAAGCAACCATTGACAGGATCAGAATTTTTAAAGATAATTTGGTCTGTAACTGTCCTTCCTGCCAAACTACCCACCCCACCACTCCAGCTTGTACCCCTGCTCTCTTTAAAATAGCCAGTAGGGATTAGTCTAGACTGCATGGTCTAACCCTAGCCAATAGGGAATTGTAATAGTGGGGTTTAGGGGTTCAGCATGCCCTCAGTACCCCTGAGAGGATGTTTCTCCAGGTTCTTGGTCTCCTGCCCTCTCAAGACTGAGAGAGGGGACCATGGCGCAGTGCTCAGTAAATGCTGGACACAAAAGTGATTGTAGAAAGTGATTTATTTAAAGAGAGAGAGAAACCGGAGAAGGAGAGAGAAAGAAACAGCCAACTCTCACACTGAGTGAGAGAATCCAGAAAGATGGAATCCAGGAGAGGAAAGCAGCTTCCACGAGAGTGTTAGGGACTAGAGAGAGAGAGACGGAGTTTAGGAGGGGAAGACAGGCTTCCACGAGAGAGTGTGGAAGGGGACTCCAGAGGGAAAATCCAGGATAGAGAAAAGCAGCTTCCATGAAGGGAGTGTTTGTGGAAGGGGATCCAAACATGGAGTCTGAAGGGGTGTGGAAGAAGGGGACTTTTAACCTGGGAGGAACCCCCACCTTTTTAAAGACCCCAGGCCGATGAAAGGAGTTCCTCAGAACTTCCGCTGGAGTGACTGACTCCTAGTTTCTTCCTGCTTACGTGAAATTTAAATGTAACCATTAAACCTCCGGGATGGATATGGGGGAGGGGCATGGCACTGGGAAATTTTTGCCCTTAAAACTCTGCCCCTTTGTGGACCTGGAAAAAGAAGACATTCCCTTAGAATGACACAGCAGTAGGGGCAACCTCCCTCAGGAATAAATGCCCCTTCCCCTCCCTTGCCCAGGTGTGCATTCATCATTGTTCCATCCATGAGGTGCACCCTTCTGTAGAAGTAAACTGCTTTGCTGAGAGGATTTATCTTCCAGTGCTATTTCTTTTGTGGCATCAAAATTTTACATATAACATCCAGGACTGCTTCCTCCTGTTGGGGTGAAGAAGTGGGGTGGGGGGTGCCACCGAGATTTGAGCTGGGGGCACCTTCCATTTCATGTCATCCACTCCGGCACCTGGCAGGTCCACTTTCTCTGACTTCTCCAGAGAACAAAAGGCTGTGGTTCAGAAAGAGATCTGCTCCCAGCTTCCTTGGAGTTTAATCCCATTAATTCCCACTGGGGGCCGAGTCTCTGGCAACTGTTAAAAGAAAGGGAAAGGAACTAAGCTCTTTCCAAAGAGTTAGGGAGAAGGAGGGGGACCAAGAGAGGCCCCAGGAAAAGAACTTCAAAAAGGAGATTCACATACATTATCCAGTCCTTCTCCGTGGGACCTCCGGCATGGCTTGTTTGGTAAGAATTGTGTTGTTAAGGGTCTCTATTGCCATAAGAAGGAAAATCACTCCTCCAACGAGGTTCAGAATCTCCTCCCCAGTTATCCCAGGCAGGCTGTGTGCACCTTGGAGCCCTGGCAATGGGTTCATGCAAGTGAGGAAACCAGGTGGCCTTCACAGTGGCCACCTCCCTTGGTCTCTGCCCACATCACATGCTGTTAAAGAGATACAAAGCTCGACACTTATTACAGGACACCAGATGGGCTTTATTCAGACTGTGGCAGGTCAGATCTTCATAACCACTGTTTCAACACTAAGTGGTTACATTAAATATTAAAAGCTGAAAGCTTGGGCGTGGGGGTTCATGCCTGTAATCCTAGCACTTTGGGAGGCGGAGGCAGGCAGATCACTTGAGGCCGGGAGTTCGAGACCAGCCTGACCAACATGGAGAAACACTGTCTCTACTAAAAATAAAAAATTAGCTGGGCGTGGTGGCACATGCCTGTAATCCCAGCTACTTGGAATGCTGAGGCAGGAGACTCGCTTCAACCTGGGAGGTAAAGGTTGTGGTGAGCTGAGATCATGCCGTTGTACTCCAGCCTAGGCAACAAGAGCAAAACTGTCTCAAAAATAAATTAAAATAAAATAAAACCAAAAGCTGAAAGAGCCAGGCCCTTATACAAACGCTGGAATTTGACAAAAGCCCACCAAGACTTTTGCCTAGGCCTTTCCTGGGCCTTGAAACATGACAAGATAACAAAGGAAGTCTTAACAGGACCCATTTACGATTAAACAAGTTTTTATTGTGGGTCTGAAGCAACTCCCCAGACCTCCACAATCAAGCGTTATTGGGGTCTAGAGGAACTCTCAAACCTTCACGACTTAGCAGGAAACAGGATAAGCGTAATCGCCCCTGGCACCTGGACTCGTCTAGATTAAGTAAATTGACTGAGGCTCCAGAGGAAGCTCTTCGGGACTCAGACCTTAGTTTTAGATTAGAAGAAATTAATTATTTATGTCTTTAGTGTCATACACACTTACACATAAACATACAGCTTAGAAGGTATATAAGCTCTGGAAAACTTTGTAATAATGTGTTGGTCTGGAGAGATTTTCCCAGCATTCTCCTTGTCCCCAGTTACAGAAATAAACTCTCCTCTTTCCCAGTTCATTTGCATCTTGTTATTGGGCCTCAAGAATTGCAGCCTGACCCTTTTGTTCCGGGAGCAAGACTGCCGCAGGAGGGAAGAAAGACTTCGGTGTAAACAGAGTCTGCCAGAACAGAAGGTGTTTTTCAATGCTGGGCAGACTCAAGGAAAGGTACTGAAGGATGCTAAGGGGTGGGTGTCTATGATTAGCCCATCTGAGTTGTTAATTCGTGTTTATCTGGAGAAGAAGTAAACTTCTCATATCTTTAGGACAGGAGGTAGTTCTGCGTGTTGGAAAAGGCACCCAGGAAGTTAGGCCGTTAGCCTCCGACTAGGAACAGGGAGACAGAAGAGCTGTCACCCTAGATGTTTGCATTTCAAAGAAATGTCTCCCAGAAACATTTCTGCATTGTAGGAGACTTATGTCTCAAAGGGACAGAGAAAGAGTTCCCAAAAGCCAAGATTTCTAAAGTCGGGAGCCTATAGTCACGGTTAGGCTGGAAGAAATGGTACATTATTTTGTCAGTGTGTCAACAGAGCTCAGGATTAGAACTTACAGGGGAGATATGTATTCTGCAAGATTTAGGGGTTCACAGGGAATTTCCTTGTGAGCAATGTGAGGGAGGCCATCTGCGGAGACATGTGACCTTTGATTATTCTCAGAATGAGGGAATGTGGTAACTTCCCGGGTCCACATGGGGCGTGCTTTCAAAGGCAAGAACTTCCCTGCAAGGCGCCTGACTGCCTTGATTCCCGTCTCCATCCGGGAGCTGAGAGGTCTTTGTGGAGCGTGGAGGTCTTTGTCTAACTTTCGCCAGCTGGGGAAGGGAGACTGGCCAGGTGAGCCTCTTTTGTTTCGCCGGCCCGTGAAGGGAGACTGGCCAGGTGAGCTTCACCCAGTAGAAAAGCCCGCCAAAAGCTGTGGGCGGACTCTGGGCCAAACAGCCAATCAGGTGTCAGAAGTAAAGATCAGTCATTCCAACGGACGTTTAAAGAAACTCCTCTCATAGGACGAGAACTTGACTGGGGCGGGAGTAAGCTCCAGATTAAAGACCTCCCGCCCCCCACGTGCACAGAGGCTTTCCGCTTCTGGGATTCCCTCCCCCAGCAGCTGGGGAGCTGGCTTTTCTGCGTCCCTCTCTACTTCTCTTTCTCTCTCTGCCTGATAAATCGCTTTTCTGCAGAAGCTCTTGGGGTCTGATATTTACCTGGAGAGTATCACGGCGCCAGGGCCTCCTACCCATTCTTGGGCGTTCAGGAGCCCAAGGGCCTCAGCACGCCCGGGCACCTCCCATCATGGAGCTGAGCCTCGCCCGCGTCCCGCAACCTGGTTTTTTGGATGAGGCTATGACACAGGCTTGTCAGATGACAGCCGTCTGTTTGGACACAAAAAGGAAGGCAGTGTTGTGTGGCTCACTTCCCAAGCTGAACTTCCCCTTTGCCATAGTGTGCTTGGGGTCCTGAGATCCTGTTTTCATTCGCGGAGGCTTGAGTGGTTCCCGGGCAGCCACAGCAGTCGCTGCGCCCGGAAGCTGGCTTTCCTCGGACGCTTTTGGCTCCAGGAACGTGGGTTGAGAGCGTGGAACGTTTCTGCCACAAAAAGAACCATTCTCGGGAAACTAAAGGAAAGGAAGCTCTGAACAAAGGAAGGTGGATGCAGAAGACGTGTACCGCGTGACGCTGTGTATCCAAAGTTCAGAAACCACGCCGATTAATCCAAGGACAGGGACGGCTCTTCAGAGTCAGGTAGTGAGCTGGAAGGGACCAGGGGGCAGCAAATGCGGGCGGCGCTCTTGTTATTAGGGACCAGGGGGCAGCAAATGCGGACGGCGCTCTTGTTATTAGGGACCAGGGGGCAGCAAATGCGGACGGCGCTCTTGTCATTAGGGACCAGGGGGCAGCAAATGCGGACGGTGCTCTTGTTATTAGGGACCAGGGGGCAGCAAATGCGGACGGCGCTCTTGTTATTAGGGACCAGGGACCAGGGACCAGGGGGCAGCAAATGCGGACGGTGCTCTTGTTATTAGGGACCAGGGGGCAGCAAATGCGGACGGCGCTCTTGTTATTAGGGACCAGGGGGCAGCAAATGCGGACGGCGCTCTTGTTATTAGGGACCAGGGACCAGGGACCAGGGGGCAGCAAATGCGGACGGCGCTCTTGTCATTAGGGACCAGGGACCAGGGGGCAGCAAATGCGGACGGCGCTCTTGTCATTAGGGACCAGGGACCAGGGGGCAGCAAATGCGGACGGCGCTCTTGTCATTAGGGACCAGGGACCAGGGGGCAGCAAATGCGGACGGTGCTCTTGTTATTAGGGACCAGGGACCAGGGGGCAGCAAATGCGGACGGAGCTCTTGTTATTAGGGACCAGGGACCAGGGACCAGGGGGCAGCAAATGCGGACGGCGCTCTTGTTATTAGGGACCAGGGACCAGGGACCAGGGGGCAGCAAATGCGGACGGCGCTCTTGTTATTAGGGACCAGGGACCAGGGGGCAGCAAATGCGGACGGAGCTCTTGTTATTAGGGACCAGGGACCAGGGGGCAGCAAATGCGGACGGAGCTCTTGTTATTAGGGACCAGGGGGCAGCAAATGCGGACGGCGCTCTTGTCATTAGGGACCAGGGGGCAGCAAATGCGGACGGCGCTCTTGTTATTAGGGACCAGGGACCAGGGGGCAGCAAATGCGGACGGCGCTCTTGTTATTAGGGACCAGGGACCAGGGGGCAGCAAATGCGGACGGCGCTCTTGTTATTAGGGACCAGGGACCAGGGGGCAGCAAATGCGGGCGGCGCTCTTGTCATTAGGGACCAGGGGGCAGCAAATGCGGACGGTGCTCTTGTAATTAGGGACCAGGGGGCAGCAAATGCGGACGGCGCTCTTGTTATTAGGGACCAGGGACCAGGGGGCAGCAAATGCGGGCGGCGCTCTTGTCATTAGGGACCAGGGGGCAGCAAATGCGGACGGCGCTCTTGTTATTAGGGACCAGGGGGCAGCAAATGCGGGCGGCGCTCTTGTTATTAGGGACCAGGGGGCAGCAAATGCGGACGGCGCTCTTGTTATTAGGGACCAGGGGGCAGCAAATGCGGACGGCGCTCTTGTTATTAGGGACCAGGGGGCAGCAAATGCGGGCGGCGCTCTTGTTATTAGGGACCAGGGGGCAGCAAATGCGGGCGGCGCTCTTGTTATTAGGGACCAGGGACCAGGGGGCAGCAAATGCGGACGGAGCTCTTGTTATTAGGGACCAGGGACCAGGGGGCAGCAAATGCGGACGGCGCTCTTGTTATTAGGGACCAGGGGGCAGCAAATGCGGGCGGCGCTCTTGTTATTAGGGACCAGGGACCAGGGGGCAGCAAATGCGGACGGAGCTCTTGTTATTAGGGACCAGGGACCAGGGGGCAGCAAATGCGGACGGCGCTCTTGTTATTAGGGACCAGGGACCAGGGACCAGGGGGCAGCAAATGCGGACGGAGCTCTTGTTATTAGGGATCAGGGGGCAGCAAATGCGGACGGTGCTCTTGTTATTAGGGACCAGGGACCAGGGGGGCAGCAAATGCGGACGGCGCTCTTGTTATTAGGGACCAGGGGGCAGCAAATGCGGACGGCGCTCTTGTTATTAGGGACCAGGGGGCAGCAAATGCGGACGGAGCTCTTGTTATTAGGGACCAGGGACCAGGGGGCAGCAAATGCGGACGGAGCTCTTGTTATTAGGGACCAGGGACCAGGGGGCAGCAAATGCGGACGGCGCTCTTGTTATTAGGGACCAGGGACCAGGGGGCAGCAAATGCGGACGGAGCTCTTGTTATTAGGGACCAGGGACCAGGGGGCAGCAAATGCGGACGGCGCTCTTGTTATTAGGGACCAGGGACCAGGGGGCAGCAAATGCGGACGGCGCTCTTGTTATTAGGGACCAGGGACCAGGGGGCAGCAAATGCGGACGGCGCTCTTGTTATTAGGGACCAGGGACCAGGGGGCAGCAAATGCGGACGGAGCTCTTGTTATTAGGGACCAGGGACCAGGGGGCAGCAAATGCGGACGGCGCTCTTGTTATAGGGACCAGGGACCAGGGGGCAGCAAATGCGGACGGCGCTCTTGTTATTAGGGACAGGGACCAGGGGGCAGCAAATGCGGACGGCGCTCTTGTTATTAGGGACCAGGGGGGCAGCAAATGCGGACGGCGCTCTTGTTATTAGGGACCAGGGGGCAGCAAATGCGGACGGCGCTCTTGTTATTAGGGACCAGGGACCAGGGACCAGGGGGCAGCAAATGCGGACGGAGCTCTTGTTATTAGGGACCAGGGACCAGGGGGCAGCAAATGCGGACGGTGCTCTTGTTATTAGGGATCAGGGGGCAGCAAATGCGGACGGCGCTCTTGTTATTAGGGACCAGGGACCAGGGGGCAGCAAATGCGGACGGCGCTCTTGTTATTAGGGACCAGGGACCAGGGGGCAGCAAATGCGGACGGCGCTCTTGTTATTAGGGACCAGGGGGACCAGGGGGCAGCAAATGCGGACGGCGCTCTTGTTATTAGGGACCAGGGACCAGGGGGCAGCAAATGCGGACGGCGCTCTTGTTATTAGGGACCAGGGGGACCAGGGGGCAGCAAATGCGGACGGCGCTCTTGTTATTAGGGACCAGGGACCAGGGACCAGGGGGCAGCAAATGCGGACGGTGCTCTTGTTATTAGGGACCAGGGGGCAGCAAATGCGGACGGCGCTCTTGTTATTAGGGACCAGGGGGACCAGGGGGCAGCAAATGCGGACGGCGCTCTTGTTATTAGGGACCAGGGGGACCAGGGGGCAGCAAATGCGGACGGAGCTCTTGTTATTAGGGACCAGGGGGACCAGGGGGCAGCAAATGCGGACGGTGCTCTTGTTATTAGGGACCAGGGACCAGGGACCAGGGGGCAGCAAATGCGGACGGCGCTCTTGTTATTAGGTACCAGGGACCAGGGACCAGGGGGCAGCAAATGCGGACGGCGCTCTTGTTATTAGGGACCAGGGACCAGGGATCAGGGGCAGCAAATGCGGACGGCGCTCTTGTATTAGGGACCAGGGACCAGGGGGCAGCAAATGCGGACGGCGCTCTTGTTATTAGGGACCAGGGGGCAGCAAATGCGGACGGTGCTCTTGTTATTAGGGACCAGGGACCAGGGGGCAGCAAATGCGGACGGCGCTCTTGTCATTAGGGACCAGGGAGCAGCAAATGCGGACGGCGCTGTTGTTATTAGGGGACCAGGGACCAGGGGGCAGCAAATGCGGACGGCGCTCTTGTTATTAGGGACCAGGGACCAGGGACCAGGGGGCAGCAAATGCGGACGGCGCTCTTGTTATTAGGGACCAGGGACCAGGGATCAGGGGGCAGCAAATGCGGACGGCGCTCTTGTTATTAGGGACCAGGGACCAGGGGGCAGCAAATGCGGACGGCGCTCTTGTTATTAGGGACCAGGGGGCAGCAAATGCGGACGGCGCTCTTGTCATTAGGGACCAGGGGGGCAGCAAATGCGGACGGCGCTCTTGTTATTAGGGACCAGGGGGCAGCAAATGCGGACGGTGCTCTTGTTATTAGGGACCAGGGACCAGGGGGCAGTAATGCGGACGGCGCTCTTGTTATTAGGGACCAGGGGGCAGCAAATGCGGGCGGCGCTCTTGTTATTAGGGACCAGGGACCAGGGGGCAGCAAATGCGGACGGCGCTGCTTGTTATTAGGGAACCAGGGGGCAGCAAATGCGGACGGTGCTCTTGTTATTAGGGACCAGGGACCAGGGGGCAGCAAATGCGGACGGCGCTCTTGTCATTAGGGACCAGGGAGCAGCAAATGCGGACGGCGCTGTTGTTATTAGGGACCAGGGACCAGGGGGCAGCAAATGCGGACGGCGCTCTTGTTATTAGGGACCAGGGACCAGGGACCAGGGGGCAGCAAATGCGGACGGCGCTCTTGTTATTAGGGACCAGGGACCAGGGATCAGGGGGCAGCAAATGCGGACGGCGCTCTTGTTATTAGGGACCAGGGACCAGGGGGCTATTAGGGACCAGGGACCAGGGGGCAGCAAATGCGGACGGCGCTCTTGTCATTAGGGACCAGGGGGCAGCAAATGCGGACGGCGCTCTTGTTATTAGGGACCAGGGGGCAGCAAATGCGGACGGTGCTCTTGTTATTAGGGACCAGGGACCAGGGGGCAGTAAATGCGGACGGCGCTCTTGTTATTAGGGACCAGGGGGCAGCAAATGCGGGCGGCGCTCTTGTTATTAGGGACCAGGGACCAGGGGGCAGCAAATGCGGACGGAGCTCTTGTTATTAGGGACCAGGGACCAGGGGGGCAGCAAATGCGGACGGAGCTCTTGTTATTAGGGACCAGGGACCAGGGACCAGGGGGCAGCAAATGCGGACGGAGCTCTTGTTATTAGGGACCAGGGACCAGGGACCAGGGGGCAGCAAATGCGGACGGCGCTCTTGTTATTAGGGATCAGGGGGCAGCAAATGCGGACGGTGCTCTTGTTATTAGGGACCAGGGACCAGGGGGCAGCAAATGCGGACGGCGCTCTTGTTATTAGGGACCAGGGGGCAGCAAATGCGGACGGCGCTCTTGTTATTAGGGACCAGGGGGCAGCAAATGCGGACGGCGCTCTTGTTATTAGGGACCAGGGACCAGGGACCAGGGGGCAGCAAATGCGGACGGAGCTCTTGTTATTAGGGACCAGGGGGCAGCAAATGCGGACGGTGCTCTTGTTATTAGGGATCAGGGGGCA